ACAGAAAAAAAAAAAAAAATCTGATAGAACATATATGGAGATATTTTTATGGTAGGTTCCATGGGAAAATGGGGAAAGAGTTCCGCTATTTAGGTGTTGTGTAATTGAAACATTGGCTTACCTAATAAATAAAAACTATGATAGAAGAATATTTGGAGGTATCCAATCATTTATCCTCGAAAGGATATCAATGTTTGATCACCAATTGTGGAGTACATATTGTGTAAATTATGAGCTACTAAATATCATTTTCCCGTTAATATGTCTAATACATTGGAAGATGGCTCTTAAAGTTGTTTAGAAGTGTTTTCATATGGTTGCTGCAATGAAGTAGTTCTTCTTTCAGGCTTACTTCCTCCGGGAACGCAGTTTGACTTATTTCGTGGAACTGCTGCTATGAAACAAGATGTGGAGGATGTTTATCCAACAACTCTTTCTCACACAATAAAGGTGAAAATAGTAAATCCAATGCTTGTTTGGATGTTCCATGATGCATGATTTTTGTATTTGTTGATTACTATTATTATTATTTTTAAGACACCTAGTTTTTATGTGGCAAACTCTCTTGCGATTCCTTTCCAGAAGAGAATTTCTAGACGCTCTGCTAATCTTTCTCAAGGTAAAGGTGCGACCAAGTCAATCCCTTCCCTTTTTGAGATAGGGCACCAATCAACATGCTGAACAAAAGGTTTAGGAAGCACTCTTGGATCATAGAAATTAGAGGATAAAGATAAAACAAGAAGTGTTAACACTTGGATAACATTTAGAGGCACTCCTCCTTTTGTCATTTCTTGTTAGGTCGTTTTCTTTTAGATTGGAGCTTCTTTCTAGGTTGCTGCGAGGCTGGTCCTTGTTTGGCATCCGTGACTGTTGTTTTTGTCGGCCACTTTCTTTATTTTCTTTTTCTAGAGGTTGTATACTTCCATCTTTTCTCAATAAAAGAAAAAACTTGTCTGGAATATATAGGAACAAACAAGAGGATTGATAAGATGTTTATTTGTTTTTTCCTTCCTTGATTAGGATCAATTCTTTATGTATCTCCTGTTCAATTTTGTCATAATTCAAATTAATTTGAATGCAGTTTGGTACAAAAAGTCATGCAGAATCTGCTCGGTTCTCACCAGATGGGCAGTTTCTAGTTTCTTGCTCTGTGGATGGATTTATTGAGGTATAGCCATATAGATGGATGGGATGTTTGAGAATTGTCCATGTAGCTTCTTTAACTTCTATTTACGTACAGGTCTGGGATTATATAAGTGGTAAACTCAAGAAGGATCTTCAGTATCAGGCTGATGTAAGTATGCTTGCCCTCTATTCTTTGTTGCATCGTCATATCTTTTCCATATGTAAGTCCACTTAGTTTGATATACTGAAAGCATTACCTGCATGCACATTCTTTTCAATTTTGTAAAACGGGGATACCAGGAGAAAAAGTCAAACCTGCATTTATAATTGACATAAAATTAATTTAGAGCATAAAATAGTTTGGAGATTCGGCATAAAAAACAATTACAAAATAGCACGAGTTTTTAGATAAATAACATTAAAATAATATTAAAAGTGACACAAAAGGAAAGGACTTGATCTAGGATCCCTCTGCAGCTGCACGCTCCCTCCATTGAAAGTAGTCTATGCATTGTCTGTAAATACCAAGAGTAGCAGAAGTGAGTATAGCAATACTTTGTAAGCAACCTACTTGTAGGCTTTCGTTGAACCTCATTCTTGTGACGATCTCTTAGCTATGTGCTCATATACGGTCTCTGGAGGAAAATATCAAAACACATGGCAGTTCAGTTCAATTGGACTAAATTGGTCCTGGTCCAACTGAACTGGCTAGGGCTGGTTCAATTGGATCGGCTAGGTCCGGTGTGCTTGAATCGACTCATCTTCTTCCTCACCCTAGCTTACCCTTGGATGATGGTTTTTGCTGCAATCTCTTCCATTGATCACAACTCACGATACACGCCCCACGTGCCCTCTACTCCTTCACCAACCTCGTATATCTCATCATGCTGAATCCAACAAGACCAATTTCATCAAATTCCATCCAGAAAACAAGTGAGATACAGTAGCTCAAACTTCGCAGTAAACTCAGAAAACTTACCTGTGAACCACGACTTTGATCTCCTTCTCCGTTCGTTCTCAGCTCTCGGTTTCTTCTAGGAAGACATCCAAGTTACTCCCACGAACTTATAGCAACTGGAATCATGAGTTTTTATTCACCATAGCTCACGAATTTGGTGGTTGAAGGTGAGTTCTTACCCACAGATATGAGTTCCTTCGTCGAGGCTCCACGGCGGTCCAACCTCCAAATTGGCTCCACAATCTCTCAAGTGCTTTTCCTCGGGGTGGTGCCCCTTCAAAATAATGCCTCAACTCCAAGAAAAGACCACGCGAATATTAGTTCGTGCTACCTTGCCGACGTCGTGGGTTTTGATCTCAATCTTCTCGTTCTCCCTCTCCTTCCGTCAAGTTTTCTCCTCCAATCCGAGCTCCACAGTCCGTTAAATCACTCCAATGCCCCAAATCCAGCGAAATCTGTGAGGAAAGTGTGTTAAGTCGCCTCCTCATTGTGCCTTGCATGCCATTGCCATCGTACGCCAGCGACAGGGTAAACGGCGGCGGGGTGGCCAATGCTTTACTTTAAAATTTATTTATTTACTTCTTTATTTATTCTTTATGCACTTATTTATCCTTACTTGTCCAAGTCATCCACACATATCATATTTCCCCAAAACTCAACATAGGGGTATTACAATAAGTTTCTTGTTGGTTGCATATTTTAACATGCAAGTGGGTTTACAGGAAACTTTTATGATGCATGATGATCCGGTCCTTTGCGTTGATTTTAGTAGAGACTCAGAGATGATTGCTTCTGGTTCACAAGATGGGAAAATCAAAGTGAGTTCTGAGTTCAGCTTCTTCAATCACTTATGTAATCATTCTTCCAGTAGGATGTAATCTGTAATCACTTCTATGCTTGTTTGTGTTGCTTATTATTTATCTATCTTAAACACGCAATTTAAATGTGTTGCTAGAATAAAAAATTCTCCATACCATTGTGTGTGCATTGCGCTTTATTTTCTAGAGAGATTTTTTTTCAGCGGCCGTCTACTTTTGTTTAATATTATATTCTGGAGGGTTATGGAGGCAGAGTTCTGATAAAGTTTAGTCCTACACTATGGGAGCATAAAATTTATCCATTTTACGAATAGTAAACATTGGCTATTTAATCTCTAATGTAAATACGAGGAATGTTAAGAACAACCAAACTTTTTACAAAATGAGACGCATTCACATTACATGGTGAGTAGTTACAGAAGGTCTAGGAAGCATCAAGGCAAGGGCACCCCATATCCCAAAGTGAAGGATTAACAAGTTGGACTGCATTCTGAGGCATGTTTCCTTTATGGTGGAGCTGTCGTGGTACATTCATTGCAAGGTTACGGTGGAGGGCCTTGACAATGCTCGGTATGGGTCTGTTTTTCTTATCATTTGGGGTTCATTTGGTCAAAAAAAAGGGAGGCATCCTCTATGGTGGAGGTCATTGTGCATCCACTGTTAATGATAAGATTGGATCGTGTGGCAAGTAAGGTCTTGTTTTTTCGGTCAGGTAATGAAGTCTTATGCTGGCACCATAGAGTTGAAATAAAAGCAAACTTGGAAAGAATCACAAGAAGCTATTGTGATTTGGTCCATTTAAAGCCTCAAGTTGGAGCCTTCCCTTGGACATTCCTTACCCCCACCCCCTCCACTCTTTTTTTGATTGAACGCAAGTTCTTTTTTTTTTTCATTCATTCTTCTTTTCTTTTTTTTTTCCTTTTTTTTTTCTTTTTTTTCTTTTTTTTTTTTTTTTTTTTTTTTTTTTAAAAAAAAAAA